ACCTCCCTTCTACAACCCGCACACACCTGCTCACACACACACGAAAAGAGAGAGAGAGAGAGAGAGAGAGAGAGAGAGAGAGAGAGATTGGGAAGTTGACGTGCGCATGGATGTAGTGTTGTCTGCCTTGCTAAACGGGCGGAAAAAAGACCTCCTTTCTACAACCCGCACACACCTGCTCACACACACACGAAGGGAGAGAGAGAGAGAGAGAGAGAGAGAGACTTTGGGAGGCTGACGTGCGCATGGATGTATTGTCAATGTGCAGGAAAGAACCAACGAAAGCAATCTGGGCGGCAGGAATCGAGAGTGGAAGACTCGGATGACTTCGAGACTAGCAGCTCGTGTTCGACAAATACATCCTCTGATATTGGGGGCGCCGCTGTGGAGGAGGTGATTGACGAGATTACTATGCTGGAAGGGTGCATTGATGGGCTGTATGAGAAGAGGTAAGGACGGGGGAGCAGGGAAAGCGCCATGGAAAAATCCTGTTACGTTCTCTCTCTTGTGTTATATTCTGTCACGTTCTCTCTCTTGTGTGCCTCTCGTTACCAAAGGCCTGCTATTGGGCCTCACTGCACTACTCAGCATTCTACATGCATTTGGACGCTTTCTTGGACCAGGTGCATTCGAACGAGTACAACATTTTGAATGTACCGGGACGATTATGAAGTCCAAAATACATAGTGTTGTGCAGTGGGGCCAGGCCAATTGTCGTAAGCTGCTTGCCTGTCTCTATCAAGGATGCATTGACAGGCTATATGAGGAGAAGAGGTAAGTAGGGCGAGGGCAGGGAAGCCCCTTCTTTCTGAACAGTCTTTGACGTTCTCCCTCGTGTATCTTTCTTACCAAGGTCTACTGTTGTCATACTCCTTTTTTTTATTTTATAATTTGGACCATTTCTCGAATTGTGCGTGTCATCCTTGCACAGGGGTCATGCTAATCTTCTCTGTTTTGTTCCAATTTTAACGGATGTCTCGAAGGACGTCGTCGTCGTACTTTTTTTCCACAGACTTTGGTCGAACTGTATGTTGAGGTGTTTGAGTGTAGTGGTGGTGGCCTATTGCGTATTAGTCAGTGCAAATGTTTGGTATCTGGTAGACTTGCCGGTTGATCCAAAGGTTGAGAAAGGGGTAGTGCTTTTTTAAGAGGGGGTGGGGGCGATTTCTTGATTTATGCATGTCATCCTTGCGCAGGGGCCATGCTGTTTCCCCCGTAGGAAACTGTGGAATTCTTATGTTTTGCACCATGCGTTGGAAGCAAAAGACACTGACAATTTGATCCATAATAAAACTTGAAGAAGGCTCTATTTCTTTCTTTTCCTTATAAATTTTCTTTTAATATCCTCTTTTTTTTTTTCCCTTGAAATTTGCGTTTTACAGTAAATCCATGAATAAACCACCATTCTGGGAAAGATAAAGAGGAAAAACCGGATTTAATTTTATTGACTCGTACATGTACTTGGCGACGGTGGCGAAGTTGCATCCTTAAGTTGTACTTTGCATCCACCCCATGCTTGTTCGAATTAGGGCCCCGCCCCGCTCCACCACACACCTCATGGCTGTGCATCTTTCCATGTTCTAGCCGAAGATTTGTGCTTATTTTGCACATTTGGTGAGTGGTCGAGCGAGGTCCATAATAGGGGGGGCGGATAATTTTTGCAAATTTGCTTCCTGCTAGGTAGTCGTCATGGGAAGTCGCTTTGTTGGTTTGCTTCCCACCACTCCTTGGTAATCAGAAGAGATTGGTTGGTGAGTAGAATTAACACCATAGATTCAAAAGCATTCAAAAGTTTCTTGTTTGAAATAATCGAAATACATCAAAATGGTGCTGGCAGTACCAAACAATAGAAAGATTTTACAAAAATAGGTCAAATTATCTCTTGGGGAGTGCCTGCCTGGTAGTTTTTGAGCGGTGAGGGCAAGCAACTCCAATTGTGGGAGTGCGATAAATTCCAATGGAAGATTACCTTGAAGATTCCATTGACTGTATTATTGAGTTGTGAGCATAAATCATTTGGACAAAAGATTACCAAGCGTTGTGTACTAAATGACCACCTCCATTCATGGTGACAACATGAAATAAAAGCAAAACTAAACCTAGGCTACCAGCCGGGCCGCCCGGGTCACCCTGTTTTCCCGGGCGACCTGCCCGTGCAAGGACCAGGGAAGGTCACAGCAGAAAAAAAAAAAAAAAAAATCGGTTTCCGAAACAGAAGTATGTTATGCAGAAATAAAAGCAAAACTAAAGTTACTCAGCTAATAATTGTCAGCAGCGTGGAGAAGGAACATACCGTTGAGTGTATTGAGTTGTGACTCGTGAGCATAAATCAGTTCAACTAAAGATTGCCAAGCGTTGGGTGGGCCTTGCCACACCACTCTCGAGATGTGAGAAAGACAAAAATGTGGCGGGTGCATCTGGCCATGTTCTAGTGGAAAGTTCGTTCTCATTTTGTGCATTTCGAGAGTGGTGTGGCAACGGGCACCCAATGACCACCTCCACGTCCATTCCTGGCGACAATATGAAATAAAAGCGAAACTAAACTAATTGTAAGTAGCGCGGATTAAGTTGAAACATGATGAAGTTTTCAGTGTTGCTAAAAGAAAGAGAGAGAGAGAGAGAGAGAGAGAGAGAGAGAGAGAGAGAGAGAGTCCATGTGAGGTGTGAGACGAGGAGGGCTTTTATGTCGGTCGGTTCTGGTTCAGATGGGTTTTGTCTTTTTATCAGAAAATCGACAGCAATCTTTCTTTTGCTCAGAATCTCATCAGGTACACTTCTGTCTTCTTTTTTTTTTTTGAGAGGAAAAGAAGAGAAAAAGAAATGATCTTTTCGTCAGAAGTAGCAAGGTGTCATGTCGGAGAGAGCCATAGTCTTTCGTCAGAAACTTGAGCCTTCAAATCTCTCTCTCTCTCTATCTCTCTCTCTTGCCTAGGTCGTCACCCTGGATACACCCACTCAGGTAAGCTTCACACCTTGGCGGCTATGGTCGTCGTCCTCCTGCTCTATCTCTACCCTAGCTATGGAGTCACACACGTGTGCCGTCCTCTTCTTCGGGTCCGGAGCTCAAAAAGAAGAGAAAAAGAAATGATCTTTTCGTCAGAAGTAGCAAGGCCTCATGTTGGAGAGAGTCGTAGTCTTCCGTCAGAAACTTGAGCCTTCAAAGCTGTAACCCACTCTGCATTGGCCAAAGCTGCTCACCCCAGAAAAACAGGAAATTTACAATGATCATTCTATTATTATGACAATGGAGGCCTAGCTCAGTTGGTACGCCAACGAACTGTTGAAATACAGACCCACGTTCAAATCCAGATGCACTCAGATGAACAGAATAATTCTGAATTGCCCGAGGCCGGTCAGCTCAAGATGATCATATCTCAAGGCCGTCGCCCTTTTTAAACCACCAGTACTTCCTCAAGTCGTGCCCGTTAACGCTACGCGATTTTAGGAAACGTACGGGCCACTACAGGAGTGCCCAAATTCATCCAACTAGAAACGTTTCTACTCTATTTTTTTTCCGCGGCTGATAGCTGGGCCAAGTACTGGTGGTTTAAGAAAATGGAGGTCCGTTTTCTTGCGCTGTCTTTTTTGTGGCTCCGCTTCTTTCGCAACAGGCTGAAAGGGTCTTTGTGGTGCCTGCAGGTCATCGACTCGGGAAAATTCTTTGCGGGGTTTGATTGGGGCCTTCACGGCACGGGTGATGGTTGAATTTGTCGAAAACAGGTGGGTGAATTTCTCTGGTGGCAGCCCAAAAACCATGGGTTTATTTGCGGGGTTTGATTGGGGCCTTCACAAGCACAGATATACAAATTGTGTACACGTGCAGATACGCGTATCCTACAAATTGGTGTGCTGGTAGGAGGATAGCATGCTGATGATTGCAGTTTTAAATTTTAATGTTTGTGCCATCATGAAATGGGGGCAAAATAAGAAAACAAAATGAACACTCTGTCTCTCATGCTGCGGGCACATTGTTTTTTTTTTTTTTTTTTTTTTTGGTTTGCGATGAAATTGCATGTACGTAGGGTTGGAATGCAAGTATGTTCTAGTTGTGTGATGATTTGCAAGTTCCTCATGATGGAACGGATTGTCTGAAGAGGAAACGAGGACGTGATTGGATTATAATTACAATCTTTGATTTGAATATCTTTCTCGACCTTTTGGCTAAAAATAGATCAAGTGCAGTATCTGTTTGTATCAGTTTAATGTCTGTGCCGTGGTCCATCGGACTATTAAAAAAAAAGAAGTCGTTGATTGTACAGAAGGGGATAAGTGGGAGGGAGGCACTGGAAAATGCCAAATAGAATGTATTCAAGCATTCTGATTTTTCTTTCTTCTTTGTCCAGACTCTAAAAGCCTGCGTTGCTCGCGTAGAGCATAAATCTTGGGTTTATGAAAACGCGCGAAGTGAAGTGATCACATCAGAAAAACAAGTGACGGAGTGTTGTTTTTTTTCAAGTGCCTTTCTTTTCATCACTTGGGATACTAGTTATTTCTAGTGCCTTTCTGATGAAAAATCTCCCGTTGAACGTACATAATTTTGATTCATAGAATGATCTATGCAGGCTGTTGAATGTAAGAAGGAGAGGGGGGGGGGGGAGGAATGTTGAGCGACAAGTATGGATTGGGGGACTATTCGCGTGTTTTGTGGCTTGTATGCATGGGCAAGGTTCTCGTTTGACCAAACAATATCAGCATGCCGCCTACTCGCCGGGGATTATCTGAGGAGATAGCAAAGATGTGTGTGTCAGCCAAGGAGACGAGAGTGCTGTGTTTGGTTCTCTGGGTACAGGGATGCTTCGCTGTGAGCACTGAAACCTGGCGGATGCGTTCGTTGATGTGATCATCTTGTTGTGTGCAGACAAGAAACTCTCCTTCAGGTGTTTCTGAGCAGTGTTCGTAGGGGAGGAGCTTCAGAGATGTCTCTTGCAGCTCGTGCATTAGGTAGGTGCTCTCTGCCTTAGGTTGATTGCTTGTGAAATCGAGCTGGTTAAAATCATCAGAACCTAACATGGTGAATGCTCAGTCTGACCTCCCGGATGCATTTGACTGAGCAGTAACCATGGTTAATGCTCAGTCTGACCTCCCGGATGCATTTGGCTGAGCAGTAACCATGGTTAATGCTCAGTCTGACCTCCCGGATGCATTTGGCTGAGCATTAACCCATGGTTGGTTAATGCTCAGCCTGACCTCCCGGATGCATTTGACTGAGCATGGTAAATGCTTAGCTGACATGGTTAGTGCGCAGTCATGCGCAGTCACACTTTTATTACTGATCAGAGAAGACCAGTTCTTTCCACTTGGTGAACTGGAATGCATGTGTAGTCGTACGACATTGGGGGAAAGACGGACGACGATGGATGTGAAGTTGCTTTCTTGGTGTCGATGTACTCTTGAGCTCGTGATGCATGCATGTGCGTACGGCTGCACTTGTACACAACTGTGGAGGCTGAATATCACCTGTAATCATTGTCAAGTGCACTGTGATTGTGTTTGTGGTGGGTCGGCCACTGTGCCGTCCAACTATACTTTTATGAGAAATAGGGCATACATTCTGATTGGCCTGCACGCAATGTGGTCGTTATTTTCCCCATCCCGTCCTTGATGAGATGTTTGTGCGTCAGGTCAATAGCGCCCTGCCTCATCTTGTTGTGGCCCTAAAGGGCCCTGCCTCGTCTTGTTGTGGCCCTAAAGGCCAGGTTCCCGTTGGTGCTATTGCTTGTGGTTTCACAGTGACCAACTCTGTGCTCTCTTAGCATGAACATAGCAGCAATGCGACACACACACGTGGGGATGTGGGCAGCTTGCGCTCAAAACTACAATCGACGTGGCAAGTCTTGTATGTGAGAGAGAGTTTTCGCCTGATACTGAAGAAAGGTACACCCGAGACTCGTTCTCCACCGAGCCCTTGTCAAGGAGCTTGTAGAACGACTTAAGAAGTATGGATTTGAAAGACACACTTACAAAGGGGGTATATCCTTCCTATGCCGATAAGAACGATGATCCCGATGGACCATGCAGATATATTTGCATTTTACAATGCAAAAAAAAAACGTGGCATTTTCAACCACTCCTTTGCGGCTTCCCTTGCGGGCCTGAGTCGTATTATACTCTGCCCCGTGCAGGTGACCCCCAGGTGACTTGCCGGGGATGCACTAGGTATCTGTTCATCTGGGTGGAAAAGGGGTTTGGTTGTGGTGACAGTTTCCAGCACACACAGTCAGGCTCAGTCATGCTTTTTTTTGTGGAGTTGTGTCTAGTGAACAGGACAACACACATACACACATAGATGCATTGTCTCAAGTCAAGGGCTTTCGTTGTCTGCAATAGGATTGAATATGCTTTGATTTTGGATCTGTTCGTCCGGGTGGGATAGGGGGTGTTGTGGTGAAAATTCAAAACGCACATAGATGCTACACAGACATTCACATGCGTACATGACACACACACACGACAACACGCACTCAGACACAGATTCTAGTGTGCTGGAAGTGTTATTTTGGATCTAATGCGACCTCTGGATTGGGAACGGAGAGTGGCTGCACGGGTGCAAATGGGTGATTGATTGTTTGTGCTCACTGTGTTATGAAGACTGATTGCATCACTGATGTTCAATTGACTGATTGCTCTTCGTCGGTGATTACCGTTTGGGTGATGCATTGACAACGCAGGGCTTTTGGCTGTTACGGAAGGTGCTGGCGAATCATCTGAGCATGTCCTGGCTGAGGTAGCTCCTCATCTGCTCAAGGTGGTGAAACAGTCGTCTTCGCCCAATGCCAGAATTTCTGTAAGTATCTAACACCAGATAGCCCTGCTCCAAGGGAAGGGGGGGGAAGTCGTCATAGACTTGAACAACTGTTTGCACCTAACTGTAATTACTGTCAGGTACAAAGAGTAAAGTGCCTAAGTGCTTAGTGATGCCCAGTGTGAGTGCGCCCTCGGTTGTGGGGGTGAGAGGACATGTAATTTGGGGTGTTGTGAGAGCTTTCCTTGCCGGTCTTGTGAGGTGTCAGTTTTATTGGCTCGGTGTCGGCGCATTCTGTATCTTTTGTGCTCGACCTTCACAAAGGATGGTGAATTGGAAAAACTCCCCAAAAGGGCTAATAGAGGCTATCTGGCCATCTTGGTGGGACCTTCGTGGAGCTCGTTGTCTTGATGAGGTTAGGTCATTGAGACGTCTGTTTGGCCAAGGGGGATGACATCATCCGAATGTACACGGGCGCTGTAACTGGGCCTGCAAATGTTCCCGATCTTTCGTTTCCCTCCCAATTACCTGGATTTGCATGTCTAGCCCCCACTTCTGGGGCTTGCCAAGCACCTGGTCTGTTGGCCTGGGCAAAAGCGAGCTTGACTCTCGAGTAGATGTTCTTAAAAGGAGAAAAGGAGGGCTATAAGAGCACATGTACCTGCCTGGGCACGCTTGATGCCTAGGAGATAGAGATAGCTCATTGCTTCCTCTCAGGGCAACATTACTTTGGTCTCAGGCTAACACTGTAGGCTGTGACACTGATGCTGTCGTTGGGCGGGGAGGAGAGAGGGGAGGTGTATCGACTGGCAAGTTACACTTGGCACTAGTGCTGCAAAGTCCAGCGCAGACAGGTCAGGATCGCTTTCTCCCTATGAAGCAGGTGCAGCTTCTCCATCACATCATGTGTGGGATAGTGTATTGCTGCTGGGGTTCTTCTGAAGGTTGCGGAGGCCTGTCAAGGGTGGGTGAAGACCCGGTCGTGTCAGATTCGACAGAAGATTAAAATGAAACATTGAAAAGGCAAAAAGTGGGAAAAGGGAGAGCAAACGACTGTGTTCAGGGTGGTTGTTGAAACTTGGGGAGTCGTGTTGGGGGTTGGAAAACACGGTTCTAATTGGTCATAATGTTTTCTTGATGTGCCAACAGGCGCTGGATGCCCTTGCGATCATCGGTATCATCTGCTTTGTGGGTGGGCAAGAAGAGTCCGCAGTGGAAATTATGGATCAAGTCGACAGAAGATTAAAATGAAAAGGCGAAAAGTGGAAAAAGGGAGAGGAAAGGGCTGTGTTTAGGGTGGTGGTTGAAACTTGGAGTGTCGTGTTGGGGGTTGGAAAACAGGGTTTTAAATTTTAATTGGTCATAATGTTTTCTTGATGTGGCAACAGGCGCTGGATGCCCTCGGGATCATCTGCTTTGTGGGTGGGCAAGAAGAGTCCACAGTGGAAATCATGGATCTTTTCTGGCAGGTCGGGACGTGCAAGGGCGGTGCCTCCCATCATCAGGTTTGTTTTCAATTTCCCACTTGCGCATGCTGGTTGGAGTGATATGTTGCACTTCATTGAAGCGCCTGGGTATTGTTGCGTAGCCTAGGAGGTTGATTGAGTCCTCCGTAGAAGATTGAGAGCCATGGGTATGGTGGACGTTCGTAGGAAATTTTGAAATATGCATATATGAGCGCTTCTGCTGAAACAACAGAGGGGAAAGAAAAGGAAAAAGGAAAAAAAGAAAAAGGTTCTGCCCAAGGAAGGCCAAAAGGCGGGAGGGGTTGGCGCTGTGCC